TATAAATTTATCATTTATTTCGTCACAAAAAAGGGCGAACACGTAAAAAAAAATAAGAGAAACAAAAAAGTAAAACCTCCGTGCGGAAACTGCTGCACAGAAGAAAAGCGCACAAAATATAAGATGAGCGAGTACACAATTCCAGAAGAAAAAAAAATAATTAAAAAAAATAATAATAAAAACTATATATAACAGTTTAATTTTAGAAAAAAAGAATTCACAGATCCACAAAACGGAAAAACGAATCTTCTGGAATAGTGTAGACAGAGCAAGAGAGAAGCTTCTGGAAACCTCGGTGATCCAATTTTAAAAAATAGATATTAAGGGACAACACAAGCGCGAACGAAATAGAAAAGGCGTTAGGATAAAAAAGCCGAAAAAAAATCTTGTTAAGAAAGAGGCAATAAAAAAATTGGGCACGAGGATTCCAGAAGGATCGAAAGCTGGCTGTAAGAGAGAGGGAAGCTACTATATAAGAGCGCGGGTTGAACCAAAGGGGGTCGTCAGAAAACTAACGGTCGAGCGATAAAGTATAAAGAAACTCGCGAAATCGCAGAAAAATCGATCGCGGCGATAATTACTCGGGAGTAATCAAATCGAATAAGCCGAGTGACAATAAGATAAAATCTGTAAATTCATAAAAATGTAAAGAAAGATTATAGCCGGAATAAATGTAATCATTAATAGAAGTTTGTGAAATAAAACAGTGTTTAAAAGTTAACACGCCGAGTGAATTAATTAATAAAACATTGGATCCAAACTCCAAAAGAAAGCACCTATGGAAATTGCGAACGACTCGACATTGAAAGCTGGTTGGTGAAGCGGCTAGGGCGACTAGATTGCAACACAGGTGATTGGCGGTGCTGCTGTACTCAACAAAAGCATCCAAAAATACAATCCCGGATTGGCGACAACCCCTGAGCAGCATCCAAGCGGTGGGCGAGTATTTAGTTAAACGCAAACCAGGTAAAAGAAGGCAACCAATGAGGAGAAGGTAAGCGATTAAGCTATAAACATTTAAAATCAACTAAGAAGGGAAAGAAAAGGTCTCGTAAGATAAAATCCAGGTGACAAAATTAGTATCGAAACAGCGATAGTGTCAATCTGGAAATAAAGAACATCATCGAGTCCGTAAAACTTTCGAAAAACACTACGTGAGTATAAATATAAATTAATGCATGGAGTGCGAACATTCTTGTCGGTAGTGAAGAGCAAACCGACTGGCGACCGTGAAAAAAGAATTTTAAATTAAAATAATCGCCTAGGGACGTGATTTTGGGGAGTTCCGGTCACATTATTACGTCACTGTGGCAGTACTGCCAGTAAAAAACGAACGCAGGCTATATAAATTCTTAGAATGGCGTATGGACTAACTTGAATCGGTCTTTTGAGCCATATATATATGCACCAAACCAACCAAACCAGAGATGCCAGATTCTGAACCATATATGTAATACTTCTATATGGCTAGTTGAGCTCTCAGCGCGGTTCCAACACTACGGTGCAGACAATGCTCTACTCTCTTTATTACTCTTTATCACTGTTCAGTTTGTTCGAAAGCGCATGCGTGACATGTATCCAT